TGAAGAAGCAGGCAAAGACCAGCAGGTCAGAGTCGGACGCCGACTCATAGCGCGGCGCAATGGAGAGGTACAGGAAGATACCGCCAGCCGTGAAGCCAAGAGCACCGAGCAGATGGGTCCAGATGTTGACGAACTCATTGTGCAGATACCACAGGCTGGCGAGCGACCTCCAGTAGCTGTTGCTCGTCTGTCGATAGCCGCGAACGATGAAAGTGTTGTCACGGCGCCAACTAGGAAGTTCGTCCCAGATCAACAGAAGAGCAGCCTCAACTTTTTCCTCCACATGCTTGGCGGCGCTGGCGATGGTCTCGGCGGTGGTTGAGGGCCGACGCTGCCGAAGCGAAGCTTCACGGGACGCGGCGTCGCTCGGCATTCTCCAGTCTTTTCGGGTCGGGCGCAACAAAATCCGGCGGGCGATTTGAGTTTTCCTCAAATATCCAACTGAGAGGATGGGTTGGATCACGAACGGAGGAGACTACGATATTCTATGCGCGCAGCTCACCAATTCCAAGCGCACCACAACTTTTTGTTGGGATTTGAGAGTCGGAACAGGCCCACCGGACCGGGGCCGAGGCAACGGCCCAGCCTGTGATGCCAGGGGACGACAGTTGGCAGCAGCTGGCGCCATTTCTCCAACTTCGCATGTTGAGTTCACGACGACGACGACGATCCATTCGTGAAGAACTGCCGCGCCACGGCATTGACGCGAAAGCCGCGATCATCAACCGCCTCAGGCACCGGGAGGAGATGGAGCTATTCTCCAGCGCACCACGACACGTTACCACAGAAGACGCTCACTGATGATTGGCAGCTGCAAACTCGGAGTCGAAGGACCGTGTTCCCTTTCCGTCTGCCTCCAGCCACCTGTTATTCTCGCCAGTCCAAACTGTCCTTTCCAACTCAACGTCACCCAAAACCCTGGATGTCGTCTTCACCCTGAACGCGTGCCCGGAAAAGCGCGGTGCCTGCTGCGCCGCCCCTCAGTCACACCACCAAACGGCATTCGCCCCCAAAGGCACCATCATATCGGTTGAGGCTCGATGGCGTCGCGAGATGGTGGGTGAGAGGCGACCTGCACACGGGAAGAACGGCTACGATCGTGTGTTCCTGACATATTGCGCTGCAGGCCGTCCCGGGTGCGGCTGGGTGTGCGGAGCGTAGCAGCCGCCGAAACGTCAACTCAATCTCGCTCGGCGGGCCTGCTTCCTCATCCCTGGAACCGGCTGGCATGTGCTCAAGCAGGGACGTCTTGCTGTTGCCCTAGCGGTCCCCAGAAACCCGGATATCGACGTCGGAGGCAAACTCTATCTCTATTCTTGGAAGCCGCATCTGCGCGGTCCAGAGGGCTCTTCAATATAAATTGTCGGGGTCCTCGCCAGCGTGGAGCGACGATCAGGATCACCGGGTCGACTGACGGGGTCCTGGTGGCCAACTCCAGGTCGACGGGCATCCAGACTCGGGTAAAAGCCCTCGTCGTGATGCCACAAGCACCTGAGCGGATGAGGCAATGGACATAGTCAACGGGTTCGCCGGCCAACCGAAATGTCTGCCACTCGCTGTCGGGATCGTCGCCGTCAAACCTGTTGGCGCGACGTCGCCTGCGCCGCTGGCCGGTGGCATAGAGTGCTCGATGCGACTCCAGGAAGCTCGCCAGATGATATTCGCCGCCAAAGCACCGCGCGAATGCCATCATTTCATCTAATGCTATTGACCGACAGGACGATCCCCCAGCGGGCCCCAGAGAGCGCAAAACTCCCATGTCGGTCCAAAAATAGGCATGCAGCTTTCGTCACTGTGCTTCTGAGCAAACTCGGTTTATCACGGCCCTCGAACGCCGATCGGCCAAACTTGGGCCGGATTCGAGACGTTGGTATAGGCACAATTAAAGGGTTGTAACCTTATTCTGTGGCCCTGAGTGATTGATAGATCTGGGCACATGATGGGGGACTGGCTGAGAGCGGACGGGCTCGATGAAATGGAGCCGGATAAATCAGTCGGCCTATATCACCTTTTGCCTCGCGCACACAACTCCTTCATCTATTTCCATATTACCCTCGAGATTGTCGCCACAGACGGCTCTAGCCATAGCTAACCACGCCCGCGGGCTTCACGTTTGTCGGTGCGGGGTGGCCCGTCGACGTCGCGATGGTCTTCTATAAATATGCCGTCAGGGACGATGGCGACAAGAGGGAAAAGCTTGGCCTCTTTTCTGCACAACCGGCGACGATCAACAAAGTATAAACGGACGGGCGCCGTGCCTTATCAGAGGAATTGACTGACGCTGCGGACACGGACTTGCAACGACCGCCAACACCGCCGACACATCTCCATCGCCACGATGGTCCGCTCCGCTCTCGCCCTGTCGCTTCTCGGCCTCAGCGCCGTAAATGCGCTTCCCGCCCAGCCCGTTGAGGAGCGGCAGACGTGGATCATCGGTCCACCGGGCGAGCCCAGCTTCGGTGGTGGCGGCCTCCGGCCGTGCGACGCCGAGAACCCCGGCGCTTGCTTCTACCCTCCCATCACCGGCGGACTCAACCCTTCGCCCAAGGACAAGCGCGACACCATCACATTCGAGCCAATTGAGCAGTCGGGACCGTCGCTGCAGTGCTCGCAGGCCAAGGTCATCCAGCAGATCCTGCGCCCGCTCCTCGCCAAGGAGAATCCCAACAAGTATGAGAAGGACTCGATCATCCGCTTCACCGACATCCTCCGCACATGCGGCTTTTCTATCGCAGACGACGGCGCCAGTCTCACCAAGCTGACGCCCCGCTCCGAGGAGGCTCCGCTTGAGGCCCGCCAGGAGTTCCGCATCGGCTGCGGCCCGTGGGAGGTGTCCCGCCTGATCGACCAGTACAACTACCTCCGGTGGCTGTACGGCATCAACACCGAGCGATGGCCCCAGGACGCCAAGATCCAGCGCCAGACCATCCTCAACGCGCTTGAGTCGTGCAACCAAGGCATCCAAACCGGCCCAATCACCCCGCAGCCCACCGTCCCGGGCGGCCCTCTCGTTCCCGAGCCCGTCATTCCCGGCGGCCCTATCGTCCCGCAACCCGTCATCCCCGGTGGTCCCATCACGCCCGACCCCACCACCCCCGGGGGCTCGCTCAAGCCCCCCAAGAAGCGCGATGTCGATGTTGAGGCCGCGCAGGAGGCGCTCCAGGTGATCGAGGACAACTACGGCACATTCGACCAGGGCAAGATCCCGGCCTTCATCGCGTTTGCCGCCGAAGGCATTATTGCCGACCTGAGGAATTCGGGCATTGTGGTGATTGGCTGGCCCAAGACGACGATTGGAGTTTCCCCGTAAACGGGAACGGAGAGGATGATGGGAGGAGATACCAGCGGGGATGGGCGAGGATGACAAAATTATCATGATATCCTGATATCACATCAGCAGAGGGGCTCCTACCTAATGGATTGCTCTGTTTTTATTTTGGCCCCGAGGTTTTTTTCTTGATGTATCTATTTCTTTGGTAGTATTGTCAAAGGCTTGATTGACACCATCTTGCTTCGTGACGCCTCGTAGGAGTGATGCGAATGGTGATGTTTGATGGGTCGATCACTTGGTTTACTCTTGCTCACTCTTGACACTATCCCCTAGGGACTGCAGCAACGATATCACAAACAACGACCACATCTACGGCCCATAGAGGTTCGACTTCCCAGTTATCTCTCGAGCATTGATGGTGAAGAGACCGGAACCAGTGCTGGCACCAAGAGGTTAACACAAGCATTCAGGCACGTCATCTTCGTTCCCCTTTCCAAATGCCCACGAGCTCATCCCACCCGCGACCATCAGCAACGGCGCAAATGCCAATGATGACATCCCCAAATAGCCCCATGCTGGCTGACCTCCCGAGATCCCCCACCGTCATCAATACAGAAACCACCACCGACGGCGCTAGTATCCCCAATGCCAGCTTCTCTCTTCACTCAAATCCTCTGTCAGGCCCTCGCCAACCAACTCTCGACCGTAAATCACCCCGAACGGGAACTGCCAGACACGATTGACGATGCCGACTCAAAGCTCCCCTCGTGACCCCGATCCCCAGTTGCCGCCGGCCACACCGCCCATCGCCGGTGGGCACCAGTGCTGAACAGCAGCTCACCTAGTCTGTTCGAACTAACCTCGCGCCGCCACTGATAGTCTACATTAGCAGCTTTCTCAGCTGTCAAGCGGCCGTCTTCCTTAGTGCTGTCCGTCCTATGCTGTGCCTTGCCTTTGGTGTGGTCCTATCATTTTTGTATCAGGGGTGTTTGTATCATGGTGTATGTAGCGCGGCGTTTGGCGTGTTGTCGCTGGACGTTATCGCTGGCAGACTAAACACGCAAAACTAGATGGTGTGGGAGCTGTGGCGTTGGGGTTTAGATACGCCAGCCAGCCTACCTGAGCAAAATCAGATGCATGTTGAGCCAGCCCACCCGTACGTCGATATCAATGACAGAGAAAGAAGGCTGCGTCGACGATGAGAAGATCACGATCGTGGGGGTAGTTGATATCACCACAAGACGAAACGCAGATCTTCCGGGAAAGATGACAACAGCCACAAACGCCAGGACGCCCATCAGGCAGACAGGCGCCAGCGGCCGTAAAACACTAGGAAGACGGATGACAGCTCAACAGACGCCATGTGTAGCGCCGGGCTAGATAGAGATTGCGCCGTCTTCCCCGGATTCTGCCCAAGTTTACGCCTGTTCATCCACCGGGCCCGACCAACCCTGTTGGACGACTACGGTAGCGAAAGCCCCGGCGTCATCACTGCCCCCCCGAGATCTGAGCCCGGCCCGGAGCGGAGTTGGGGGCAACGTTGGGGGAGGTCCCCACGGAGGTGTTTGTGTGTGTGTGCGTGTGTGTCTTTAGACGAGAAAAAGGGGCAGGGAGGGGAACAGCAGCTGGTGTCACCGCGCAACGCCAACACAACCATCATGATCGTGACAATCCCTCACAAGGAGGGAGAGGCAAAAAAGGAAACTGGCACCAACGAAGCCGGGAATTGAGCCCGACGTGGGGGTCGAACCCACAACCTTGAGATGGTGTTTCTCTGGGAATTTGTATTCCTTCTCATGCCACAACGAAGTGTACTGACCACTATACTAGACGCCCTTGAAGGAAAGAATCCAGATGGGCGTCCCAGGAATCGAACCTGGGTTTCTTCGGGAAACGATCTGAGAATGGTGCAAACAACCCATAAGAGTCTCACGCTCTACCGATTGAGCTAGCCGGGCCTTGAGAGGCCTGCTACGCTTGCCAGTCTGCTGTGGAGAGGCAACCGATTTTCTCGCTTATGTGTGAGCCTTTTGCGTGGTGTTGTGGGGAGGAGGGCTTTACGATGGCGCTCCACCGATGGGTCTGGTCTGTGGAGAATGGAGATGCTGACTCGGACGACAAGCAAGCAAAGAGCGAGCGGCAGCCCAGGCACAAACTCTATCAGAGGATCAGAGCCAGAATGGTCGGCTACCCGGAATGGAGGCACAACTGCCGTGACTGCGTCTGCGTCTGCGTCTGCGTCTGCTGCTGACCGCAGCAATATCCATCACACGCACTCAGGCAGGCTCTCAGCCCAATGGCATTCCCGCCGTAGCCCCAACACAACGGCAGCGGCATTCTTGATCCTGTTCGATGGAGGCAACCTCCGCGATACCCCTCACTTGCAGCGCAAGTCTCGCAGCGACAGTCACAACACCGCTTGTTCGCTGCCGGCAATCCTCCTGCGCAGTAACAACCAGGCAGACCAGCCACCGTTGATGTTGCGACTCGCCGAATCCGGGGTGGTCTGATTCCCCAGACATCAGCTCACACTAGAGCCAGCCGTCGAGATCTCCGATAAAGTGCTCAGATCACAAGTCGCAAGTATCCGAGCGTCGGTTGAGAGTCCAGGACAGGCCGTGTGATAGCGCAGCCAAGTTCAATAATTGGACCTCAGACTGAGACCCGCACTAAAGCAAGCCGGTGAGACTCCATACAAGACCACTTCATGCTTATGAGACTTGCGTCTTGTTAGTTGAACCAGCCCACCAGACTGTCAGTCCCATTGGCCAGCGTAAACCACCCATCCCTGACATGCTTTGTGGCTGTCAACTGAGCGAGACGCTGCCGTCCTACAGAACCATGGAAGGCCTTGGACTCTCACAGACGCACCTGGAGTGCTGCCGGCTCCGCGGTCCGATGTATCATGAACTTGCTCGCGGGTGGCGTCAAGGCCTGGCCCCTCTCGTAGGGCGGGCGGGCGCGAGATACAGATAGTGAGGAGTGAGCCAGCAAATGAGATCCGGGAGCAGCATAACTGTCCATTTGCGGGCATAACCATAGATCTGGCGGTCAAGATGCTGCTGTGATGGCTCGAGGCCTAACTGCCTATACGAAGCGAGGAGGCCGTTGCCACTGTCGATGTGACACCACAGACGCAAATGCATCTCAACGGTTTCCCGGCAACGACCAGGCATATCGCCAGATCTCTCTCCTGACAGCAGCTACCAACCACCGTCGTCTCCTGACCCGGGAGCGCAGCGGAGGTGACGCTCCAAACACGGCTTGGATGTGGATGACGGTCCATGATGGGGGCGCAAAGCTCTTGGCCAACCAGCCCGTCTCTGCCGGCTGGCCAGAGTAATGCCGAACCGCACGAGGTATGGGCGGATCGAGGGCGGCGGGTGTGATCTAGAGTCCCTCCGCCACTAGACCAAAAGCAACCCAAAATCACCCAACCCATACAGCTTCACCGCAGGTCCACGTTGGAGAAAAGGGGCCAACCAGATGGAGATGGCCAGCTTGGACGCGTTGCGGTCTCTTCACCGCCATGTGAGCCCCTCCTCTCACGCCGGTCGGGCGGTGGGATTGCCAATCAGGAGGGGCTTCCCCTCAACTGGGCAGAAGGCCGCCGCTGCAGGCCAGTCTTCTAGGCCATCCCAGCCCAGCACGTTGCTGGACGACGATTAGATAGCCATCCCGGTGCCCCGCTCACATGCAGCCATGCAGACGACTTGGTTCGAGATGCAAAGGGGAAGGCCGCGCAGCCGTCTGATTCGCCCGCCTGCCACGGAAGGACCCTGGGAGTCGGAAAAGTGGAAACGGCCAGTCGAGAAGATGAGCTGAATGGTGGAGAGGAGCGCAGACGCTTGTCCGCGAGCGAGCAGTGTGGCAGCCCAAAGGGAACCGTGCTAATGCAAGCACTCAAACACACAGGCGCGTCTTTGTCTCTCTGTCGTCAGCCCATCTGGCTCGCCGAGGAGGGAGGGGCCTGCTTTTTTGCGAGCGTCATGGCACATGTGGGCTGGGAACGGCCTTGCCGTTTCCTTGGAGCTCAGTGGACGGCCTGCCATGGCGTTCCCCTCCTTGTGCTGCGCTGCTTGCTGCTGCAACTGTGCGCTCCGCAGCGCGTGCAGCCCGAGGCTGGGTCCCGTGGAGAAGTTGTCTGGCCGTCGGGGTTAGCGGTCTGCAGCGCCCGTCATTGCTCCTCCCTTGGATCAGCGGGAACACCGGGACAGTAGAAGGCGTCATATTGTTGCTTTTCATGGGGCGAGGGAGGCGTTCGTGTCCAGTGGAGCGCTGTGTTGCGCTCTGTTGGTGTGTCTTGGCCGACGGAATCGAGATGGACGATCAGGCTCGAAAATCCACCGCCGTCACTGTCTGGTAGCGAACAAGTTGACCGGGCGTGCCAGGCTTATCTGGTCTGGTCTGGCTCGCAGCCCCAAGAAAGCGCAGTGCGATTTCGAGAATGCTTGACTCCCATCATGGCCCAAGTTGGGCGCGCGTATACCCGACAAGGAGGGGTTGAAGGCGACGGCGGGAGGGTGAGCACGGGCCAATTGCCGGGCATTGCGACGGCCACCCAAAGCAAAGTGCTGGAAAAACAGAACAGGAAGGCGGGAAGAAGTTTGCAGGCCCCCCCTCCCTCCCTAACGAGCAAGGCAGAAGAGACAGCCAAAGACAATGAGAAGGCGCAGAGAAAAGGTGTGTGTGTTGCCCACAACCTGCCAATCGCAGTGGAAGCTGAAGTGCAAGCAAGCCTCATCCCGGTCGAGCCTGCATGGCCATCCGCGCCTGCCGTTGGCCGGAGGCGACCGTCACCCTGCACGCCAGAAAAGTAAGGCGGAGTGGCGTTCCGGCGCCGGCCAACCAGGGACCGCGATAACCAACCTCCAACCACACCACCGGCGTGATTGCGAAACGAGAGCTCAGGGAGCTTCAAAGAAGTGCGAATTACTGCAATGAAACTTTGGCACCTGACCGATGCCGAGTGGTTGCCCGGCTGCGCGACATTTTTCTTCCAAGCGGAAAATGGCAATCCGGAGCCCGTTCTCACAGGCTAGCAGCGGTCCGCGTCCTAGGCTTTGGAACGCCCAGGAGCTACCAGCAGGCAAGTCAGGGGGATTGCCCGACTTGGGCGCGGGCGCCATCGACGGCCAGATCACGAGCACGGCAGCATGTCGAAGCCATCACGTGTGCGGATCGTTGACCGAAAACGCCGTGGTGAGCAGATACGAGTTCAGAGCAACTTCAGCACAAGTGCAATGGCGACGATCATGTCACAAGATTGCCAGATAGACGTGTGTGTGTGTGTGTGTTCTCGACTTCATTGCTATTTGAGGCTCAAGCTGCTCTAAAAATGTATGCGCTTGACCGGTCTCTCCTCCCAGCCCTCGGGAGCCTTGAGCGTCCCAAAGGAAAACGTATCAATCGCGGGATTTCCCCTGCGAGTGTGGGCTGTTGGCCCGGGTAGTGTCTAAATCTCGTACCCCGTCTCTCGTTTTTCATCCCAAGCCGCCAAATAATAGACATAGAAGCAAACCCATGTATCCACCCAGTAAGCATGCCGCAACTGTCGTCCGCCATCGACGTCGATGGCCCACAGTTGAAAGGGTATTAAAGTCGGTAGAGCGGCTGAAAGCGAAGCGACACCGAGTCTCCGGCTCTTGGCATCCCAAGAGTTGCTCGAACGCCTGGTCTTGTATCCCCCTGCGCCGAAAATAATGCTTTCCCAAATGCGTAAAAATATGTGCAATCAAAAAGATCCCCGAACAGACAACTCCTCGCTGAAACAAATGAGACAAATTGCTGGCATCCCCGTCATCCTTCATCAAATGAAATGGCAGAGTACAGTGTATGGACAAGTGAGGGGAAACCCTCAAATTGGCGCTCCGTAGGAACTCCGAGATCCTCGAGAGAGGATTATAACGTTTTGTGGTGTATGTTGTTGGACCGTGCAGGTTTTGTCCGTGACGTAAGAGGCTAGTAGCAACCTTGCATGTGGGCGGTGAACAGCGGCACCTGGTGGTGGAACGGAACCGGGTGGTGGAGCTGAGGCGCAGGCGCAAACTTCATCCTGTCCCAACCAAATGGATCGGCGTGGAACTTTGGGGCCGGCACATGCATGGGCTGGATAGACTCTTGAACAGCTGGCACATACCAATGCATGTGCTCCTGTCGAAATCCTGTCATGCTGGCATCCTCAGCTTCGAAAATTGCCGGCTCCTGTGGAGCTTGCTGAGGTGGCGGCGTCTTGACCTCGGGAATGTCTTCGATGAAATCGTCATCCTCAAAGTCGTCGAGGCTAGAACATGACGAAGAAAGCGATCCTTCGTCGGATGAGCAGGTAGATTCTCCGTCCGACATGGTTTCGGACGAAGCAGGGGACAAGGGGGCCTCGTAGTCGTAGTCGTCTTCGATGGCCGACTCGTCGTCAACGTATACTGGTGAGTGCTCTGGCGATGCCGGAGGCGAAGGCAGCGAGGCTGCCGGTTGGTCGGTAAACCTGGAGCAGGCAACGATCCGGGCGCGCAGTTCGGGCAGTGTAATTCTCTGGTCCGGGTTCCGCGCAAACACCCTCCCCAAAATGTCGTTCAGTTCATCCGACAAGGGGAGGATGGTTTTGAGAAAGCCCTGGCTCCTGGTGTACGCCCGGTATGTGGAGTCCTCGAAAGATGCCTGCTTCCATGGGTTGCGTCCGCAGGTCAGGTTTACCAGGATGACTCCAAGACTCCAGACGTCATTCGGAGCGCAGTAGTAAAACGGCCTCCTCGATGAGTGGTCCAGACATTCTACCAATGGTCAGTATCAAGGGTCAGTGAGTGAGAGAAAGGCCAACCTACCTGGAGACATGTAAAACGTTGAACCGCATCCGTAATCCTCGGATCGCTCGCTGGAGGTGGCCAAACCGAAATCTGCGAGCTTGACAGTCTCACCCCGGTTGGAGACGAGAATGTTCTCAGGCTTCAGATCCCGGTGGT